TCAGTAGTAAGTCTTTATCTTATGCAGGGAAAGTAAGTTGTGAGCAAACTGTATTTCTAAAGCATGTTTCTGAAGCAGGGTGATTCACAGTTGCACATAAAATGGTGTCATTAAATACAGCAAGAATACAGGGGAGAACTATATAAAAATAAAACACAAAATACCGGATCCAAAGAATGAAGGGCTTCTAAAGCTATATAAAGAATCTTAAAATAAGTTCAGAGCCACTGTAATCAATCCTTGATTGGAGGTTATGCTGTTTGCATTTTTAGCTGTGGCATTATAATATTCATTCAGGTTTATTATATGTCTTTAAATGAATTTGAAGTTTAAGTGTAATCACAAGTTAAAGTCCTGCCTTCTAAATTGTATTTAAGAAAAAGAACATGATTAACAAAGTGTTAATCATGAAAGTGTTCAAACTGCATTTAAATTAAACTTTAATGTTGAGGCTTTCTCTTGACCAAATGGTAGTTAGCAACAAAGCTTCGCCTCATCCCATTTAGTATCACATGATCTTTTTCTGCAGATCTAGTTTGCTCAGTTGTCACAGAACTGTTGACTGCTCTTTAAGGCCTTCTCGTTCATGTTGACCTAACTGTACTTGTAAACCAACATAGACAAGAAGTCTATTGCTCAAACAAAATGGAACTTTAAACATCTTCAATTCCATGATAACTGAACACTATCAATGTCCTAACAAGGATCATGGGATGCAATCAAAGGCTAAAGAAAAGCTAAACTGACTTTGAGGCAAGTGTTTGTTAGCTATTTTACTGTTGAGTAGTTTAAAGAACATAATCTCATAGTGTGTAAGTTCATGTTTATTAACAAAATGTCTTTATCTATAAATCAACTAGGTGCAAAATGAATGTAGTGGAGTACTGCAAAAGTATTGTAACTAAGTATAAAGTAGCCAAAGGTACAATATTAAGCATCTTTGGTAAACAATGCCATCATCACTGTGTCTACTAGGCTACTTAGCGGCCTATTGTTGATTTTTTAAAATCACTTATGATATCAAGTGTAATTTTCCTGTTATTGATATTGATATAAAGACTTTGGTTGTAAGGTTATGAAGTATATATTGATCATGTAATTCTATATTATTCTTATAGTCAGTACTATCCTATTGGATTGTCAGCGATAAGTTATGAGTTAGCCTCTTAGATCTCATTTTAGGCTGGTTCATAGTAGCTAGGTTTAGCCACTATATAATAAGTACACTGTGTAAAAGGTTTACATTGAGAGGGACTAACAGAATAACTACAGTATGCCTATACATTTAAAAAAATGTCGACGTCCTCATCAGTCAGGTGTCCCTGTTCTCTAACCCTACAGATATGAATGACAGTGTACCCGTCCACACAGCACGTCATAATACGTAAAGCAGCCAATCATATTTAAGAAACCCGAAACTGTTACGTGACAAGCAGCTATGTCGTTCAATCAGAGTTTTACACCAAACTTCAACGCCCGCCTTCACTGCGTGTGTAGCCAATCGGGATGTAGAAGTAATTACTAATTCATTACATTGCAAAGGGGAGTGACGCAGTTTGTGTAGATCTTTAGATACTCCATGCTTTTTTCGTGTGACCCGAAGTAACATTTTACTGAACCAGACGACGCGCAAGGCGGGAAATTACACCTCAAGAACCTTATGGGCAATGTTAGGCTTGATTCCAGCGGCCTTTCATGACAGTTTATATTCTAAATAAGAGCGCTTTACGCCTCCTATGATAGACCTAAATTATAGGGAGTGACGTTGGCATCTGTCACGCAGTGTTTCAGAGCGGGCAGTGAGCCCCACCAGGTGAGATGCGGCCTTGTGGGTTTTAGCACATGAGGGTTCCCATGATGTGCACAGCATTCAGATTTTACGCCGACTGGTCCTCTTATTGATGCGTTTCTATCAGTGACCCTGCGGTAGTTAGTGCCATGCCCTGAGATGGCCCGAAGGATTTGACGCATTACTGTGCAGATGATTTTGTCGAATCGAAGCAAAGAAGCGCAGTTTGTATGCGGTTAAATGATGTTCAGGATGGCAAAATGGCACACACAGTTAGGCCCTGCTAGCGAGCCAGCACTAACTAATCCCCTGTCATACTCCAGTGGAGACTACTATTGTGGTTATGGTTGATATAGAAACATTCTGTACAATTTGTACTATCTCCCATGATAATACACTAAGGGTGTGTGTTCTTTGACCTAAAATAAACAATTGCACCTTTGCTACGATTCTACTAGGATTTGTGTACTTTTTCAGTCATTTATTTTTCTTAATGAAGCATTTAAGATTTTATATGCACATTCATAACATGCACAGGTGGAAAGTAACTAAGTACATTTACTCAAGTACAATTTTGCGGTGTTTGTACTTGAGTATTTTCATTTTTGACTACATTTAGAGGCATGTCGTACTATTTATTAACTCCACTTATTTGATAACTTTAGTTACTTTTCAGTAAAAGATTAATAACATACTCAATTTGAATGATAAAATAAATACAATTTTAAAATGAAATAAATACTTAATTTAAAATACATTATAATCATGAGGCTTTATTGATCCCTGGGAAATTCACGAGTACCCAGTAAAATACTTCAAAATGCATAAGGTAGTTAACATTATCTCCGCCTTTCCCAGCTGCAATATTAAAGAGATAAACACAATAATGTATCAATGATTATACTTCAGTAATATAATATAGGTTACATTAGCGTGAAATGTGCCATTCTGTATAAGAAGTACTTAAACGTTTGGCACTTAAAGTATGGTTTGATGCTGATACTTGTGCATTTTTACTTCAGTAACATTTTTGAATGCAGGACTTTAGTATTTTTTACACTTTGGCATTTCTTTTTTTCTTTAAGTAAACAATCTGAGAACATGTTCCCACATCTTAAAGGTTCCTGTTTCTGATTTGTTTTGTTTTGTTTTGTTTATTGCAGGAAAGTCCTCCTTGACAATTCAGTTTGTGGAAGGCCAGTTTGTTGACTCCTATGACCCAACAATAGAAAACAGTAAGTGGGGGGTTTGTGGACTGCTACACCTTCATACACAAGCAGGATTTCACCCAGGAAACTGTAGTTGAGGTGGTAAGCCACTCAGGTCCTGGTACAGCTTGTCACCAGTTTGTTGATGGCAACCTACTAAATATGAGCAACACTACACACAATGACTTCTGAAATAGTACATCCACTTCTTTTAAAAATATATTTTGTATAAAGATGTTAGTATAGGGGAAACACGGTAAGTGCTACGTACGCTTATTTGCCAGTTTATTAAGCATGCTTAGCTAATGCAAATGCAAGGTGATAATGTTCAGTTTTTGTTGAACCTGTTATCATATGTTCTGGAGATATGTTAATTCAGCTGTATGGTCATTTTGTTTGTGGTGTTGCTGAGCTATATTGTGTTATACAGTCAGTTTCTATTATTTAGCCTACAGGCTGACATAAATGGGATGGACAAAATCGTAGAAACATCTCCCAGTATAATGCGGCACAGGTTAACAGTTGCCTCTTATTTTTCTGTCAGTCAACAAATGAGTTAATTAATTCAGCTGTACACTTTTCTGTTGTGCATGAGCTGTATGTGAAGTACAGGCTGACCTGCTATGCTCAGTGTTGTCTCTGTGTGGTACATCAGTTATTCATGTGTGCTCACATTTAAATATCAAGTTGTTGGTCAAAGCTCTACCACACTGATGTAAATCTTATTCATATCGTACAAAATCACATCTTTGGGAAAATAAAACTCCATAAAATCCTTTAGCAGGAATCTTGAAATGATATAAGATTGGGCAGTATGGTCAATATATGACTATTGTTTAACGAAGGAGATCCTCAGGTCTTCCTCAGTGGAGTTGTTCAGTTGCCATGGAGATGACTTAGTTGTTATTATGTTGCCCGAATATTGAATTTCAGTCACATGATTACAGGTGGATGTTATCATGATACTGAGCGGGACTTTTTCATGCAACATATAGTATAGGGCCACACCTAGTGATTATTATGAATATTATATCCGCCAAAGGTGGGGATAATGTTTTTGTTGGCATTTGTTGCTTTGTCTGTTCACAGCATAACTCAAAAAGTAGTGAATGGGTTTTGATAAATGAAATAGGATATGGCCCATGAAATAATTAGATTTTGGTGGTGGTTCAAAACCGGTCATCTAGTTTCAGGAATTTTTAAAAGGATTCTTCACCATTGTGAGATAGGGCCAATTCACCTTTTTCGCTTGACTGGCACAGAGCCCTGGAGGGCAAAAAAGCCTTCCAACACTATACACTTGATTCAACTGCAGCACAGTCCTGTTAATTTTCTAGTCATGTTCTATTCAGGAGGGACAAAGGGTTGCAAGTCATTCCTCTTCTTTCTATCTTTTTGCCCAAACGTCACTGTCTGAGTTCTAAATCTACTCCACCTAGACAAAGAGCCAGCAGCGGTGGTTAAGCGAGCTAGCATTGAATGAAGAGAGGGAATGGTGGTAGAATATCCTGCTGGTGGGCATGTGAGGACCTTAGTCCCTTGATCTTTGTGAGGTGGTCTGGTATATCTTGTTGGCTGCTGCAGTTGCTGCTCCAATCCTGAATGGGAGACCGGGGAACCATTGGCCATGAATCAGCAAACCATGTCACACTCTATAAGCCCCCTAAAAACCCACTGAGAGAGCAGCTGGGAAGAACGAATGACTGTGGAGAAGGCATGCACACATGGAGGAGGAGCAGCTAAGACCATGGAGTCGAAAAACGAACCTTAAGGAGGAGGGAACAAAAAACAGGAAGCTGCACGCTGCCACCCTGGAGCAGCAGACAGAGCAGGTAAAGAGGGCTGCAGGGCAGCACCACCCACTGCCAATTGGAGGAGGAGCCACTGGAGGCAAGGTGTTGGCAGCTTCTGTCAGGGAAACAAGGGAGGTGCCAACGAGAGCTGGTGGAGGAGAAAGCAGACTGCAGCCTGGTGTCAGTACAGGACAAAAAGGCTGCAGAGAGTGGATATCTGAGGGACCACAGCAAGTAGCCCAGTACCCCCCAAAAAAAAACAAAGGAGGAAAGGAGTGGGAGAGATGAGAGAAGTGGAGGAGGTCACTCAGCGCCCAGGGAAGAAAGAACAGGGAAAGCAGAAAAAGAAGAAGGACAGGCCAGGGCCTGATGTGGGAGGCCAAAGGGTGGCCCTGCCATGCCGGATGGAGGCATGCAGCATGGATAAGGCATGTAGGACTTCAAG